ACTACTACATTTAAGTGTCTTCATATATCTCCTCCATGTACAGTAAGGGTGTTGAGTTCTTTCTCATCACATAATATGAGTCAGGTTGTTATAAATCTAAGTGGAATGGTCCTCGGTTCACTTCAATTCCCTGTATTTATGTTTATCTGATGCCAACTGAAGCAAGAGATTTGACTTATGAATTGTGAATGTTGCCAACCACCTAAGAAAGACCTTGTCTTGTCTGATTATTTATTGATTTATACAGTAATGACAACATTAACATTAATCTTGGATGAAATAATATTTAACTGAAAACTTTTAGTTGTCCAAATTCTCCCAGTGATTATTTATTCTGTGATGACAATTGGTGCATCCAGTGTTTTATTTGGCTATTATCGAATATTTTCCATTGTGCAGATTGAAATATTTGTAAACATAAAATTTTACTTAATATTTTCTTAACATTGTTTCAGTACAAGGTGCAGTTTAAATGGATGAACATGCATATTATGAGTATACTGCTAGAGGCAAAAGTAAAACTCACACAGTTGATCTTTGTAGCTGGCCCTATCTTTTATTAGCCTTGCATATGAAAGGAGCCTAATAGGTGTTTGATGTGGGTGTTAATGGATTCCCATGGTAAGAAGCTAAAGGCTACCACTTGCGCAGTGGCTAACCTGTTTGAGTTATTTGTGTAGGAACCAATTTCCATGCTCTCATCCCCTTTCTCTCCTACTAGACCTGTGCTCTGCTTGTATAACAACCCGGCAGTAGTGATGGAAATGAGACAGAACTCCACAGTTGCTGTGTTAGCTGTTGTTATGACAATGGTAACAGTGGGTAGTACAATGAGACCTGATGAAACCTGGGAACTGGAACTCCATAGGTGGAAGAAATAGATTGCCTATGGCCAATAATCAGGTGAGTACACTTAAGCCTGTAAAAATGTCACCTGACCACAGCAATAGACTATGTGTCTAAAAGCAGCTTTAGACTATAGAATTGTTTTAACTGTGTCATTGCAACTTTAAATCTACACTTCTAACTAAAGTTCTGACGAATAAGAATTTGACTGACCTTACATTTGAAGCTAGCTTCAACAAAAAGTATGTTCCTGACACCATTACAGCAGAAAGACGCAAAGATAGCCATGTGGCATATCAGAGGCCAGTGTAATGGAAAGGCTTCAAATTTGTTTATGAGACTCCAATTGTCACCAAGCATTGGGTGAGTATTGTTTTCCTTCTTTTGTATTTGCCCCTTTTTTCATGATCTGTATATGTCCCCAGGTGGGTCTGTGGCATGTTTACAGACTTGCAGTGCTAAAATCTGAGATATGAATTTCCTCAGTGGACAGAGCACAGATAGCCTACTGTGTAGCTTTGTACAAAAACTGTATATTTACATACAGTATATATATATATATATATATATATATGTTGCTTTATACAAGACATTTCCAATTTTTTCCACTTTACTCATTTTTGTAAAACAGTCAGTGTTATGTTAGAGGGCATTGCATTCCATTTTTATTTGATATTGTGTTTAGCAAATGAACTGTCCAGAACCTCACACTTCTCTGAATATTGAATGAATTACTATGTTCCAGAATGGACCAAAAAATGTACATATATATATATATATAAAGGAATTTACCCTTCAACCTTTATGAAACCAGCAGTCATCACCAAAATTCTACTCTTTCCTTATATAATATTTCTACTTTGATTTTGATATGTTCTATCATTTTGTAATACTGCTTTCAATGTTTTATATAAAGACTTGGCCAAGATGTTTGCATAGTGTTCTATACTGATATGTAGTTTTATACTGTTATGTAATATATACCCGAGTAGTAACAGAGAAGATAGCATATGAACAGACAAACATGTATGAGTTGTTATTCTGGTCTGTATAAGTTATTTTGTGCATTTGTTCATCAAAACACATATTCACACATTTTGTATAAAAATATGTGATCTTGGTATAATCTTTTGCAAAACAGATCAATGCTTTGTTCAGACAATTTCTCTGTACTTGGTGTAGAGTCATGCCTCGTTACATGCCAGAAGTTGTAGGGCATCAAATTGTTCGACTGTCCAGAAATCGTATGAAGCAAATGGACATTGCCAGACAGTAGGGTACCCCAGTGCACTGTATTCAGAATCCTGAAACATCATCAGACTACAGGACAAGTTGGGATGAAATTATGGTAGAGTACATCAACAACTTCATCAACAGCATGACACGTTGTCTTGTGGAGGTTATTAGAGTACATCAAGGTATAAAAAATACTGAATGTTTAATATGAACTGATATAAGGTTACAGACACTATTTATAACAAGTTGATGTTATACTTTGTCATTACATATGCTTTGGTAAAGTATTGTTATGATAGATGAAATGCTGAATTACACATCTTTCTACACGCGTCTGATTATACAAGTTACATAATGGTTTTATTTGTTACAAAATATAGAAACTTTTTGGCCAAGACCAAAGGTCTGAAAAGGTTACTAGGAGGTTTCTTTATTTGTTTCTAATTAAGCACAAAGCTATCTATGTTCTGCCCACCACGGGTTTGTAGCATTGTAAGTCCCCAGACATACCCCTGTTCCACTGGGGGTCTACTAGGAAGTCATTTCTGTTATATGCCAATTCATAAAAAAAATGGTATTATATATTAAAGTGCTTTTGTTTTAAATTTTAATATTTTGTTTTGTGAACTCTATTATTGTCATGATCTTGATAATTGTGTTTTGTTTTTTTTTGCAATTTCTTAATTTTATTTCTGATTTATTTTCATTATGTGGTTTATTTCTGTATTTGAAACTTGTATTAAGACCAAAGAGCCTTATTTTGGGTATGTTTATTTGATATGTTTTACATTTAATTAAGGATATTTTATTTTCATTTTCTCCTATTTTTTTACTGAAAAGGTTTTGCTTTAAGTTGAATTTTCACATGAAATTAAAACATAGTTTCATTTTGTATTTTAAACTGTTTGATTCAAGGATTATGTTGCTGTTCTGTATTTCATTTTGAATTTTATCTTGTAATTTTTTGGTATATAAAGTTATGCTCTTTGTCTTACTTTTCTGTCTTGCTGGGTAAATGTTTTACAGAGACAAGAGTATGTTACACCACATTCTTCAAGAATGTACAAATTAATTCATTGGTTTTTAAATTCGAAAGCTAGGGATGACTGGGATGGCCTGAAGGTAAAAGGGAAAAAGATGTGGTATACAGGCACACTAAAAAGTTTCATGCATACAAAAAGTATGTAGTTTTAAGTATAGCTTATGTGTCGTGAAGTAGTTAAACTTCTTTTATCTTAGTTATCTATTTTCTGAATCATTCAACTTGGATATTACATGTGTTTTTTGTAGAAAAGATTTCTGTAAAGTTGAACATACTATGTAGAAGTGAACCATGATATTTTCCACTGTCTGGTTATGTGATACCTGTAAAGGGCAAAACATCATTTATTTTGTGGTGAATATTACCAACAGTCACATGGGTAGCACATGCACCCTGAAAATAATATCACTGTAGTCTTGTGTATACAATGCTATGTTTTCTCCGTTTTGGATAGATTCTTCACAAATTTTCTCCAACTTCCAGTCAATATTTCTGAGAGCTCTCTCTCTGACATATGTGCCATCCTTCCTAAATACAAACTTCCCGAGTGATTTGTGTACTAAATAAATATTGTTTTACATTGTCACACACTGTCTTGTCTCTTTCTTTCATAGTTCGGTCGAAGACATAAAATTCATATTTGCTCCTTGATACATTTCTTAACCAAACCTACTGTTATTCTGTAGAACCCCAATTACTCTAATGGAATTCATTGTACCTGAGAATGCCACAAAGTTTCTATAAAGTTCCCAAAACAGCATATTTTAATAAAATAAATATATATACTCTGTAGCTAAAAAAACATTCCCCAATATAAAGAAACAAGCTATAGTCCATTTCCTTAGAGAATAATATAAAACAAAACATTCAATATCTAAAACCTTAATTTCATTCCTTATTGGTTTGGTATCTACAGATGCTGTTCAGAGTAAAACCATAATAACCCGAACATCCGCAAAGAGAATAAAACAAAAATTACACAGTATAAAATCTCGAACAACATAAAGTGAGAACAATACTGTATACAACATAAAAACCCAAGTAACACACAAACACACAGAAAGAGCAATGCTGTATACAATATAAAAACCCAAACAACACACACACACAGAACAAAAATTTAAACATATCTCATACACTCACAAAGAGAACAAAATTGTGCACAACATAAAAACCCCAACAACACAAACAATGTAACAACATGAACAGGGCACACACACGTGTTAACCCCCCCTCCCCAGTACAAATCCAATGGACTCCTGGGGAAGTATTGACATTGCTATTCTCGGTAAAAGTCTGAGTCCATGAAAGTGTTGCCGCAGGACAATTTTTTATGCTTTTAAAAGCAGAATAGAAGAAAGAGCATAATTGTCGAGGAATACAACGTTTTTAGTACTATTAAACTAATATGTTGAACTTAATAACTATTTCCACAAAGTGAAGATATTCTTGCATAGATTTACCATAGAAAGTACTAACATAAACTGACAACACATAAACATAAACTTCTCCTTGGGTGAGACAGCAATAACTTGGATTTACAACACTAAAATCCGGGGTTCGATCTTCCGCAGTGGACCGTGCAGATAACTCTAAACCAAACACCCTAAAAACTTATCACCAATTAACTAAATAGTTAAAAAAGTCTCAAGAAATCTATATTTCAGGAGCAAGGAAGTAACTGTCAGTCTGTCTGCTGTTTTCCTGTTTAAACCTTCGAGATGTAGGATGTGTGGAGTAAACCATCAGGTAACAACGTGCACACTTTGTAATTGTATAGAAGTTGTTGAATGAAACAAGTAAACAATAACAAGACAGTAGATTCAACTCTAACCAAGCAAGGTGATGTTTAATAACCAGAACAAAACTTTCATACCTTTTGGTCAAACCGCTGCAAGAAAGAACAGGTACTTCAGTTGACAGAGAAGCAACGGAGTAGTAGTTGTACCCTGGAAACACCTGAAAAGTACGTTTATTGGTTCCTGATTATAGGACCATCTGTTACAGGCTCGACCTCACCCCTCAAATCTTTCTGTTGGCAATTATCTTATTTTCATATATTTGTTTTCAAGTTTACCATGTTAAGCCTAAGCAAAACGTAATTGAATATGTGGTTTCAATTCGGAAACTTCATTAATTTATCGATACTGCGTGTTTCAAAGTAGTAGTTTTTTATGCATAAGTAAATTCAGATCTATTCTAATCCTCAAGTTTTGTATAGAAAGGTCTCCATGTGGAAGTTAAGGTGCTATGAATGCAAAATAGGACTGATAATGATATAACTTCTATTTTTCAAAAACAAGGCCTGCGACAGGGAGGAGCATGCCTTACGAGTCCAAATTCATAAAAAAATCAAAACAAATCTTTAATAAACTTAAGGTTACGCTGAATAATAATAAAGTTTCGCTTTTCCTGTAAAATAACTGCCTTTGAAAACGTTCACTTGTTAATACCGGTAACTGTTAGTCACGATTAGTGATGTTTTCTCATCTGTGCATTTCGATGCCAAAGCCAAATATTCTAGGTTTGAGCTGCGGTACAACTGCATTTCTCTATTATTGGTAACTGTTACAAGTTTTAGCTGTTATCTTTGTATTTAGTGTCATTTGCCCTACACACCATTAATTTTTTTTTTTCATGAAAGTATATGCAACTGGTAATTTACAGCTTATTTTGAGACTAGTCGGGGGGAAGTCATTGCGACTAAGGGAATTTGATTATTTACATATATGTGTGCAAGATTTCTCCGATCACTTGAAAATAAACATCATACACAAATCTGTTTCTTTACACTAATTTGTTGTGCGTCAGTATACTGATTATTTCACCCTACACTGGGTCTACTCACTGTGTGATTACTTTCATGTTAAATAGCTCAGGTGTGAAAGTATCAATACATTTGTAATAATTTAAAGGAAAAAGAAAAAACTTTTCCGTATAGAGCTATGATGTGATATTTCATGCTATGTGGATGTTTCATAATATTGCCCTGTCACGGGATGTATTCATTTCCTTGTTTGTTGTACCAACCATGAAATGTGATATTAGAGAAGAAAACCCAAGTTTATGCCGGTTCTGTTAGGGCACTTCCGGGACTGAAACAGAGGCAGTTTAAATTGTAATTTAAAACCATGTTAAACTGAATTTCTTCAGAAATTGTTAGTCAAATTCCCCGGTAGGTCTGATATAAGTTTAGGGATTTATAACCCTAAAATCCTGAGTTCGATTCCCGTTATGACAAGAGTGCAGATAGCTTATTGTGTAACGTTTCGTTAAAACCAACCACATGCACATTTTTTAGACAAATTCTCACACTTTCTTTCTTAATCAGTTTGAAGTTAATATTTACGTATTAAAAATGTTTTACAAACAACACTAACTTCGTGCTTCGGATGTATTGTCTACACCTTTCATTACACGCATATAATGTTACGAGGTGACAAACAAATAAGAATAAGACACGTTGAAATTATAATAACTTACAAAATGTTCATAAATCTCGTCAGCAATTATAGGAACGAAGTTCCTGGCAGCGATATCTAGGATTGCTTGCAAATGGTTTCGTGAAAACACTGATCCACAAGGGTTAGAGGGATTATTCACGATGACTGCAGCAGTGTTATCGTCAACCTGGGATTCAAGATCCGCTAGATCCACTTCCCAATTCTGCTCAGGCTGAGTGAAAAACAATAAATGTCAGTAGTTCGATAAAAATAAATAAATATATAAAGTTGAAAATGTATAATATTCAACAAGCTATTTCTACACGTCACATACATCATATAGGATATTAGGAATTATTTTTAATAGATATTCCAAATTACTGATTCTAAAAGTGAAAAATATCATGTCAAAAACTCAGCTTTATATTCCACGCTCTCATAAAGCTCTAATATCAGTTAGAGACAAAAGTGAACTATTTATGTTACCAAGTTTTTTTAGTTTTACTCTTTGAAAAACAGTCACGTAGAACCAAATTAATCAGTATATGAAATGTTTAAAACCAACGAAAAACGAAATAGGCA